CACAGGTCAAATCCAGCCCTCCACCTGTTTTTGTAAGTAAAATTTCATGGTAAATAAATTATAAATAAAGTTTTTCCATTATTTACAATTTATGTGGCTGCTTTTGCACTACAGTGGCAGAGCTATCTGGCTCTTTACAGAATAAGTTTCCTGGCCTGCTGAAAACGAGTTTCAGGATTTGAGGTCTTGGTGGTGGCTAAGGCTAGAGTAACAGTGAGATGTGAGGAATAGCTAGACAAGCCAATCGTATGGGTGAAAGGTGGAGATGGAGGTCACTGGGACAGACGTTAAGGAACCCCATACCACGGACACCATGAGAGTGATTAGCAAGAATGCTAGAATTCCCTAACTGTGACACAGGGGATGTGGGGAAGTAGAAGGCTGAAATTCTAGAAGAAAGGGGCCCAGCTGCCTGTGTAGCCTTCAGGAGAATCAGAGAAGCGGGGGACATAAACATGCGGAAAAGTTGCGAGATGTCCCCCTCCAAGTCTGTAACCCCAGGGAAAGGAAGCAAGGTGTTTACTGACCCCCTAGTCTCATGAGTACCTCCTGACTCCACCACCCTCCTGTGAATAGCACTGGGGAGAAGATGAGCATGGTTTGTATGTGGGTGGTTGGGGGAGGGGGTCACAAGTGCTCAGTGTTCCGGTAAATGTACACATGAGAATATGGGGTCCCGTGTGCCCTGTACATCAGGGTTCAGAAGAATGCGCGGTGGAAGCAGCTCTTGGGAGATAGCTAGGGAAGTGAGGAGGACCGGGCTGAGGCGGTGAGGAATAGACCCTGCCAGCTCCTCACATCCAGGTGAGCCTGGATGGTTTGGGCAAAATTCCCAGGTGTCCCCTCTGAGCCTGGGTACCACACTGAAGAGTGAGGACAATGTGCCATTTTTATGAGGAAACTCTCCAGCTCCCCTAAAACCAAATTCTAGTCTTCCTGGGATGGCAGTGGCGAGCAGATGCATCTCTGAGGTCCTGTGGCCCTTCCCATGCGGACGCTGTTCCTGTTACGGTGCTGATACAGCCTTGGCGGACTGGGGTTCATCCAATCAACTCAAATTTCTTTTGGAGTCACAGTCATCCAGATGATAGATTTTAGAGACAAGGAGGCTGTGCGGTGGACCTGACTCGAGGAGGGATGACCTCGTCCTCTCCCTAGTCCACTAACTACCTTGGCATTTTCAGATATTCGATTTCTGTTTGTTTTCAAAACAGAATAACACTGTGTTTCTGATTGTAAAAGGGTAATTTTTTTGGTGAGTGGAAAGTTTCTTTGTAAACTCCCTAAATTCTGTGAAAGGGAAAAGAATAAGTTAGGTTGCTGGAGAGGCTGTGCCAAGGTATGAGAACCTCTGCGTGTGGCCGGGCGCGGTGGCTCACGCCTGTAATCCTAGCTCTCTGGGAGGCCGAGGCAGGCAGATTGTTTGAGCTCAGGAGTTCGAAACCAGCCTGAGCAAGAGCGAGACCCCGTCTCTACTAAAAATAGAAAGAAAGTAATCGGACAACTAAAACTATATAGAAAAAATTAGCCGGGCATGGTGGCACATGCCTGTAGTCCCAGCTACTCGGGAGGCTGAGGCAGAGGATCGCTTGAGCCCAGGAGTTTGAGGTTGCTGTGAGCTAGGATGACGCCACGGCACTCACTCTAGCCTGGGCAACAGAATGAGACCCTGTCTCAAAAAAAAAAAAAAAAAGAACCTCTTCGTGTTTTGCCTCCTGCTCCCCTCTCTGTGTTCCTGTTGGTGGCCCCCAGGCAGTATTTACAAAATGACAAGTCACCCTCGCTGGGTCATAAGCCCATGGCTCAGTTGCCTTCTCAACCCATTAGGGGCAGCTCCCCCAGGCAGGGAAGGGACGGGGACTCCACAGGCTCACCACTGCAGCCCTAATTCACTTTCTTCTCCACTGCCTTGCTCTGCAGGGATATTCCCTTAACAGATACCACCCCCCTCCAGTTCAAGGCTATGAGCTCAGCAAGCTCAGACACCAGCAGCGGGGGCCAGGATCTTGCCCTAACGGTTTCCAGCTCAAGCAAATAGAGTTTCTCAACGGGCGGCTCCCAGAAGTGCCCCTGATTGGAAAGCAGACACCATCACCACCAGTACTTGTCCTCCCAGGACTCTGGCCAAGATTTCCAGAACCACCTGCTGGAAGCAGGCAGCTTCAGAGCTGGGGTGTCCCCAGGAGCGTGCATCACAGAAGTCCGGGGTTCCAGAGAGGGTTCCAGCATCCTTCGCCACGTGGCAGGATTCTGCCATGGAGAGGTGTTGATAGGCTTTCCTCGCATTTCCAGGAACTGAGTATCAGCCAGGATCAGGAACAAAGGATCTTAAAGCTCTTGGAGGAGCTTGGGGAAGGGAAGGCCACCACAGCACATGATCTGGCTGGGAAACTCAGGTCCCCAAAGAAGGAAGTCAATCGAGTTTTATACTCTCTGGCAAAGAAGGGTAAGCTACATCAGGAGGCAGGAACGCCTCCTTTGTGGAGATTTGCGGCCTCGGCTCAGGCTGAGAACCAGCAGAGCAGAGTAGTGAAATTAGACGGTCAGAGCCAGGGAGCCCCGGACTCAGACCCTAGTTTGGAAACTGAAGACAGAAACGCCACATCTGTCTTGGAAGATCTTCCTGATCCTTTTGACATGGCCGAAATCAAGGAGAAAATCTGTGACTACCTATTTAATGTGTCCGACTCCTCTGCCCTGAATTTGGCTAAAAATATTGGCTTCAGCAAGGCCAGAGATGTGAATGCTGTTCTGATTGACTTGGAAAGGCAGGGGGATGTGTACAGGCAAGGGACAACCCCTCCCATATGGTATTTGACGGACAAGAAGCGAGAGAGGATGCAAATGAAGAGAAACACGAACAGTTTTCCTGAAACTACTGTAGCACCCATCCCTGAGACCAAAAGAAACACAGAGTTCCCCGCCTGTAACTTACCGACATCAAACGCCTCAAATAACGTAACCACAGAAAAAGTGGAGAATGGGCAGGCACCTGTCAGAAAGTTACAAGACAGGCAAGTGGCCAGACCAGAACCAATAAAACTGAAACCACCTGTTCATAACAATGGCCCCTCAAGAGCAGGGTATGTTGACTTTGAAAATGGCCAGTGGGCCACAGATGACATCCCAGATGACTTGAATAGCATCCGTGCACCACCAGGTGAGTTTCGGGCCATCATGGAGATGCCCTCCTTCTACAGCCATGGCTTGCCACGGTGCTCAACCTACAAGAAACTGACAGAGTGCAAGCTGAAGAACCCCGTCAGCGGGCTGTTAGAGTATGCTCAGTTCACTAGTGAGACCTGTGAGTTCAACCTGATAGAGCAGAGTGGACCATCCCATGAACCTCGGTAAGAGACCACCCAGGAACTGCACCTAGGGTTGGGGTCCCGTGCTCTTGCTCCTGACAGAGTCTCAGCTGACTCATGAGCTGTGCCATTTGGTGGCCCCTGTCTTCTCCCTCCTCTTCTCTGCCTTTTAGCTAAATCACCTTTGATTGACCCTTTTCCAGTTGTTGATCAGGCAGTATAGACCTTGGACCAGCCAGAATCGTGGCTGAGCAAGGGGGAGGTTGACGCTGTTGGCCGAAATGAAATTTCTTTCGGAGTGATTGGCTTTCATGCATCAATGTCATGCCTACCTCCCAAGGCCAGAGGTAGTGAAGACTTAACTCCCCAACCCCTTCTGTGAGCCATCCCCTTCTCCCCGAGCTAAGTTTCTGAGAGAGGTACAGGAACAGGTGGGTTGGGGCAGGTTGCATACACAGAGTGAGGGTGGGTTGTGCTGCTAAGCAGCAGCAGGTCCAGAATCCCCTCTCTGCACAGACTCCTGGGGGGAAGGATGGTGTAGAGCATGCACGCCTGCCTGCCTGCCTGTTGAAGGTGGTGGTTCTAATTTTACACACCTCCTCTGCACAGATGGGCGGGCTAGCACTTGCTGCTGCTTCTGAGCTGTGAAATCAGAGATTACCTCACTCAGACAGCTGGCTGGGCCCTGCACTCCAGGGTCCTATAGGCCAGTGGACAGATTGAGGAAGACAGGTGGGCCCAGAAAGGAGTCGCCAAAGGGCCTAGCAGAGAGCTGAAACCCCTGAAGCTCAGGGCCTGCAAGCTGCAGCTAAAGAGAGCCATGAGGATGACCGAGAATTTCACTAACCTTTATGTTTACTCAGGTTCTAGGGGTGAGAATTCCTGGCTGTGATCCTTACGCCTTATCTTGACTATCTTAATGACACCAAGTTGGCATTGCAGGAGAGCTGTTAAGAAAAGGGGGTGTATCTGTCCAAAGGCTGGCAGGACCAGAACTGTTTTCTGTTTGGCGTGGAGACTGGATGGCTGTCATTCTCCATCATTCTCTTTGTTTTCCCTCCCTAGAGTTGGGGGAAAGCAGTGGGTTTTGAGGGTCATCATCCTTTGGACTCCACCTATAAGAAACATTGATGCTATGTTCAACTATTTCAAAAGACCTAGGCAATAAGAAATTTGACCTACTTTTCTAAATGAAATCCTAGATTGAGCAAAGAGCTGAACAAATTTGAAAGCTTGAACAAAGGAGGCCTGAGCTAAGTCCAGAGACCTAGAAATAATGCTTTTTTATTTTCTACATAACAAAGGACAATTCCTTTCATCTCAGGCTTGGGACAATTAGAGCTATAAAATGACTCATAACAAACTCTAAGAGTGATATATGTCTAAGGCTGGATTAGGGACAAAACGGGCCCCTGAAAAATGGCAGGTGTGCGATCCCTGAAGGTGGCTGGGGAGTGTGAGACTGGGCTATAAGGGGCTTCACTAGAGACTGGGCTTCACTATCTTTTAGGACCTTTCCTCAAGGAGGCCAGTCTCCCAAAATTGCTTTAGGAGGAAGGCCTTTGGTTGCTAACAAGACTGTAATGGCGATTTTAGCTCATCATTTTTTCGATGGGCTTTATAGTGATTCACTGTTAAGAGATAGTGGGTTTCCCCCGAGCTCATTTCATATCACCTGTGGCTCTGTTTGCTCTGCTGAGCTACTTGCGGGGGAGTCACTGGCTGCTTTGTTTCCCCAAAAAAGGGACAGGCTGGGCCTCCAAAGGCATAGGAGTTCCTTGGCTTACCCTCCATCTCCTCCCCAGGTCAAAAAGCCCTCTAGTGTAGCAAGGAATTCCAGGGTGAAGATCTCTTTGGAGAGGGCAGAAGGCATGGCTTAGACTCGTGTTCACGCATCTAATCACTTTCCGTCAAGATTTAAATTCCAGGTTGTCATCAGTGGCCGAGAGTTTCCCCCAGCAGAAGCTGGCAGCAAGAAAGTGGCCAAGCAGGATGCAGCTATGAAAGCCATGACAATTCTGCTTAGGGAAGCCAAAGCCAAGGACAGTGGAAAATCAGAAGAATCAACCCTCTATTCCACAGAAAAAGAATCAGAGAAGGTAGATGTCCCGCGCTCTGGAAGGGTGTCAGTTCGCTTTCAATCCTGTGTCAGGATTTTAACTGACCTTCCCAGCCTAAACAGCTGACACTTTCTTGGGGTCAGCTTCCCACTCTCCTTCTACTCCACCTCACAAGCCCACCTTTCTTCCTCTCATACCCAGCTGCTCTTTTTGCCCCCTTTCCTAGCATAACTGGATTTACAGAATTTCCGAGTTGAAAGAGACCTGAAAGATGATCGAGTCCAGTCTCCTCTCTTGGAAAATGAGAAATGGGAGCCAGAGCATTTAACTAACTTATGCTTTGCTGCAATGCCTAGAAAATCCCCCAACGGCCCCTTCTGCTTTGCAAAGCCAGCCCCTTAACATTTAGTTACTCAGAAGAAATTCTGCCATCCCCTTCCCCTCTTCCATGATGGACTAACTAGTGTTTTCTTAGTTTTGTTTTCTTCTTGTTTCATCTCCTCCAGACTGCAGAGTCCCAGCCCACCACTCCTTCAACAATATCCTCATTTTCTGGGAAGAGCCCTGTCACTACATTGCTTGAGTGCATGCACAAATTGGGGAGCTCCTGTGAATTCCGTCTCCTATCCAAAGAAGGCCCTGCCCATGACCCCAAGTATGTCCCTGTGTCACGTATCTCTGCTGAGGTTTTTGCAAAAAGAAAAAGACACATTTTCCTCCTTGTCTTCTCAGAGATGGCCAGTTATTTCACTGAGCAATTCTTTCTGTTTCAAAATGGAGAAAGCAGGGCCGTGAGGGCCTGAGTGCTGCTCATGGAGCAGAGAATCTGGGATTAGGAATTAAAGGAACCAAGCACTAGGGAAGTCCATGGCTTGGAGGTTACTGTTGATGGGACAAACAGGTACCGGACCTGAGAAGCTCTCTATTTGTGGGTCTGTAGACTTAGATGTTCAAGAGAAGGGTTCTTGGAGGAGGTAGAACTAGGCTGATGCTTAAATGTCGAAAGGGGTCAGCCAGGCTAAGAGACACGGAGGGCAGGAGGTGGGTGAAGGGCACTGGCTATTCAAGGCAGGCGTGACTGCGTGAGAAGTGACTACACAAAGGTGATGTGTGTGAGGACGCTACAAGTAGGAAAGGCCGACAGGCTGACAAAGGCTAGCAGTCTCCTCAGTCAAAACCATTTAATCCTTCTGCTCTCTTCATCTCCTGTCAGGTTCCAATACTGTGTTGCAGTGGGAGCCCAAACTTTCCCCACCGTGAGTGCCCCCAGCAAGAAAGTGGCAAAGCAGATGGCCGCAGAGGAAGCCATGAAGGCCCTGCATGGGGAGGCGACCAACTCCGCAGCTTCTGATAACCAGGTGGGCTTGTCTTCCTACTCAAAAGATACGGGTCGTTTTTAGCAACAGGCCATTTAGGATTGCCTATGAGTCCCTGGTAGTTTCCTTGAGTGTTTATGATTCCTCTTTGTTTGATTAATTTTCCTTTAGCCTGGAGGTACGAACACGGAATCACTGGATAACTTGGAATCTGTAATGCCCAGCAAGGTCAGGAGGATTGGCGAGCTCGTCAGATACCTGAACACCAACCCGGTGGGCGGCCTACTAGAGTACGCCCGCTCCCATGGCTTTGCTGCCGAATTCAAGTTGGTTGACCAGTCCGGACCTCCTCACGAGCCCAAGTGAGTGTCCCAGTCTTGGCTACAGCCACGTGTCACCGGGTGGGGGTGGCTTGTAACCCAGGGGAAAAAAGGATATGCATTAGCTATGAATGACAGAAGGGAAACAAGTCCAGCCCTGTCTCCACAGCCTGTTAGAAGACATTGGATTAGTCATCTAGAGGATATAATCACTCTTCCAGTGAGCATGATCCTTTTTAATTTTTTAACTAATTTTGATTTTTAAAGGAATATATATGTACGTAGAAAAACATTCAAACTGATTGAAAAAGTATACAATGAGAAGTCTCATTTCTATCCCAGACTTCTAATTTCCTTCCCCAGACCCATTGCTTAATGACAGGGATACCTACATTCTGGGAAATGAGTCATTAGGGGATTTCATCCTTGTGCACATGACAGAGCGTACTCCCACAAACCCAGATGGCACGTCCTACTACACACCTAGCCTGTGCGGTACAGCCTGTTGCTCCTAGGCTACAAACCTCTACAGCAGCTTGCTGTACTGAATACTGTAGGCAACTGTAACACAATGGTAAGTATTTGTGTATCTAAACTTACCTAAACATAGAAAAAGTATGGTAAAAATACAGTATAAAAGATAAAAAATGGTACACCTGTGTAGTTGCTCTGAGTGAGTGAGTAGTAAGTGAATGTGAAAGCCTAGAACATTCTGTACACTTTATAAACACTGTCCACTTAGGCTACACTAAATTTATAAAAAAATTTCTTTTTGTCTTTAAAGTAACCTCAGCTTACTGTAACTTTTTTACTTTATAAATTTTCAAATTTTTTTTAACTTTTTGACTCCTGTAGTAACACTTAGCTTCAAACGAACACATTATACAGCTCTACAAAATATTCTTGCTTCATATCCATGTTCTATAAGCTTTTTTCTATTTTTAAAATATTCTGTACTGTGATTACATCACTTCTATAACAGAGAAATAAAACAGAAAGGAAGTGCCCTGTAGAACTCAGATGGGCACCTGGTGCTCCTCTCCGACGACCCCTGAAGCCCCTTCTGTTTGGCTAAACGCCTGACGCTTCCCCTCGGGTGAACGAGTGGGGCAGCCGCCTTCGCCAGCCCCGGCGGCCCGCTCCCGGCCGGAAACCGCCGTCACTGGGCTCTCAACTTGTCTCTGTCCAGGAGGAGAACATCTGCCTGCACTGGGCCGCGTTCTCCGGCTGCGTGGACATAGCCGAGATCCTGCTGGCTGCCAAGTGTGATCTCCACGCCGTGAACATCCACGGAGACTCGCCCCTGCACATCGCTGCCCGGGAGAATCGCTACGACTGTGTCGTGTGAGTGCGGCACCGCCGCTGCGCCGGGCTGTTGCCACCTGCCCTCG